CGCGCAAAGGGCAAAGGGAGGCAACTCTTGGTGAGTACCAATTAGTGATTTTACATTGAAGGGAGCTTCAATTAAGGAGATACAAGTGTTCCACTATGTTCGCAAGAAGAAGACAAGCAAAAGAGCATGAGTCAGGATAAGGAAAAATAATATATTTTGAAACAAAAGTTGACTTCAGTTTTTATTTACCGATGGTACTTTTTTCTCTTGGGTTCACATTTCCATACTCACCGATTTCACAAAATGGCGTCTCGTTGTTGATGCAAGCAGTGATCATCGGGATATAAAAAGGAACACAAACACATGTTGCCACAATACACCGGTAATCTTTATTATGTAATATTCTCACCAACACTTACGCTGTATATCCACTTTCCAAATGACGTCTCGTTGTTGATGCAAGCAGTGATCGTTAAAAAAATATAAACAAACACCGGTAATCTTTATTATGTAATATTCTCGTATTGGTGTCTCGTCGTTGATGGAACATACTTACGCGGTGGGGCGGCCTATCCATGAGAGATATGATTTTGACACTGATTTTGAGGGTCAAGTTTGGGGGTCGGTTTATCCATGGGGTCGGCTTATAGACGGTCATATACGGTACACTTGAATTTTTTGTTGAAAAAAATAAGATCCTAGTTCTCATTAAGCCAAAAAAAATAAATGTGGTTCCGATTTCCTACATTTCAGAACTAGGGTAGGTAGGTAGGTTTAATTTTTGTTTTGCAAAATATTTTTACATTACTCATGTGTCAGAAAATAAATTTAATTTATTATGTGGTGAGTAAAATTGTTAGGCTCGGCGTGAATATTTAGGGTCGGTCGGGAAATCAGAACCACAAGCTTTTTTTTTTTTTAGGCCTTAATAATGTATCAAGTTTCCATACAAGATCCCCCGCCTGGTCGAGCAGAGATGATATAAGAGATGCAGATAAGGTTATTCCCCAAAAACTGATGAATACTAGTCAGGACAGTGTATGTTTCCCTAGTTTTTGCATATGTAAATAGTTATGGTGCTCCGTCATAACCTTAAAATGACATCATGTCAGCCAATGAGAATACAGCATAACTTTCACGGCACATACTACTGACAAACAGCGAGTCTGATGCCGACGTGCATATTTGGACAAAATAGAAAACAATGAATGTAACAAGTACTTCATGATTTGCTGTTGTATTCGGCAATTTTTCAGGTAGACTGCAGCATTTAGGGCACCAAACCGGAACGAATGTTATATAGCGAAACATTTTCAAACTTATGTGAAATCTCTGCTACGAAACGCCCCAGCCAATTTTGTCATTGATCCTGATTTGGACAAATGTATTTAAAATGATTAGATATATACCACAAATGCATATTTTTGTCAACTATGATATGATGGTCTTCATATAAAGGTTATTAGGAAAAATTGTCTGATAAATGTTCCATTAGTAAACTCATAACTATATATGTATATATAACTTCTATATGAAGAATATAATATCAAAGTTGACAAAAACTATGCATTTATGGCATATATGTAATCATTTTAAATAAATTGGGGCATTCTGACAAACCCCCTGGGGCAATTTGACAAGAAGTCCGTGGTAATTTGACCAAAATTGCTGGGGCATTTTGTAGCTGGGGCAATTCGACTGGTACCCTATTTGACTTGATTTAATCTATGTTAAGAATACCACTGACAGTACTGAGTAGGTTGTAACATGGAATGATGTAGTATAAATGAATGTCGTGGGTATTGCTTCCTTCTTTAGTCTAGCTTTTGGATTTTCCTGATTTTCATACCCCATGTGTGCATGTCTCTTTCATATGCGCAAATGCGAAATGATAGGAACATTTCTCCGGCCTAAATTTGTCTTTTTACTAGGAAAACGGAAGAAATTGTGGCTCTTTCCATTGTTCGATGATGCTGTGCATCCCAAGGCAACGTAATACACTAACGTACCATTTACAAAAAAGACAGAAACAACACGATTTGTATTACTATAGCGCTTGGTATTTACCAACATGGCAGACTCTAGTCACATATGACATCACAAGCAGAAAGGTCATGTGAGTTTCAATGTAATATGCATAATGGCCTAAGCTCAAATAACAGAAACTGTTTTCGTGATTAAAACATAAATAACCATATTTTTTAATTATTAATTTGGGTACATGTTTCCGATGACTTTATCTTTCACTCAGCAAATTATTGAAATTGTCTAGTATTCTCCTTTAAGTGTTTTCTCTTCACCAAAGAACAAAAATATTGATCAAAGTACAAAACATATTTCATTATGAAGAAAATATTAGACAGGGTGACACTCAACGTTTTGTGCCTGAAGTCAACAATGGCAGTTATTTGCGTTTGTGTGCCGAGAAATTTGGCAAACACATATTTAATTCGCGGGCGTTTCATTTTAAGGTACATACACTAATAAAAGATTATATATTTAGAAAGCAGAGAATTAATGCATTCCATACATAATTCAAATGACACGTAAATCCGACTTGCTGAATAAGTATTGGAAGTTTTATTTAGGGATGTCATTATGCTGCTCTCCTGTCGAATGGGTTCGACAGTAGCAATGAGAGGATGTATACTTCAGATTTCACCATGTAGCTTTCAGCCTACTTAACTCTTTCAACACCAGTCAACCAGAGGCATTTACTGCCATGACACCGAGTTCCCAGAGACTCTGAGGTCATAGATGAAGCCTATGTTTATGAAGGAAATTATAAGCTTGTAAAACGTTATTGCTACTACATCCCATACACCATTTAAAAGATCTAATCCTACTGTTGATAAATATGAAGTTTATTTTTATAATATTCAAATAATACAACTACAACTTAAATAAATTTATATTTGAATGAAAATGCAAGCTTACATTTATAACGTCCAGATAAACCACGAAAGAAGCAAAAACTATGGCGATTTTTTTCCATTTGTGACATGTCATAACATGCCCGTGCCTTTTTCTTTTATATTTTCATTTTTACATCATCAGAAAAGTCTTATAAAAAGATTTCTTAAATAATATGAATGGTCACCTATTTCCCGATATCTGTGGCTTTCCGCTCGGTAACATGACGTAACAACGGAAAATACCTCCGTTTTCGAAGCTTCATATGAATAACATGCGAGGCGAATCGTTTGATGTAGGGTATTGTTCGAAAACTCTGAACATCAACAATATCACTGTAGCCCTTGCCAAGAGTATTTTCACAGTTGTAAGAAGTGATTTTTTTGGATAAAGATTGGTTTCTAATGACGCTTTTTCGCCACAGTATGCTATAAGGGTCATGATTGGTCAAAATCAGACACGTGACCTAAGGCAGCCAATCATATTACGGCAATGGATACCGTCCTCGTAAACGAAAACTTTTAGATTTAGACAACATATTAAGCAAGAAATCGCTACCTATACGTAAATTATGAGTGAGTGAGTGAGTGAGTGAGTGAGTTTAGTTTTACGCCGCACTCAGCAATATTCCAGCGATATGGCGGCGGTCTGTAAATAATCGAGTCTGGACCAGACAATCCAGTAATAAACAGCATGAGCATCGATCTGCGCAATTGGGAACTGATGACATGTGTCAACCAAGTCAGCGAAACTGACCACCCGATCCCGTTAGTCGCCTCTTACGACAAGATAGTCGCCTTTTTATGGCAAGCACATGGGTTGCTGAAGACCTATTCTACCCCGGATCTTCACGGGTCACGTAAATTATGGAACTTATTGGACATATCGTGCTAGGTTATGACCTGTGACAAAAATGCTTCATGTATATATTTTCGCGTTAAACATCGTGTCCGAGCGTGAAGATTGCGCGGCGGCGAGAGACGAGATGTCACTTGTCAGTGACTTGACTTACATTACATGATCGCACAAAAAGATGGAAAAAGTAATTTTATATGTACGTTTGACAACTTTTATGAATGTTGTTGTTGATTTTATTCATTAGTTTATTCAATTTATTAATGAATTCCTCGAAACATCGTTCCTTTGCTCTTTGACAATGTTATTGTGGACCCGCTGCCGAAGAATGTGTCCGAGAATCGTTGTTTTCAACAACATTGTGAAAAATAGTTTATAATTTTAATTCTGCTGATAATATATGATAAATTGAAATTTAATAAGTGTTTTCAGACATTGTGAAATGTGATAGATTTAATATATGAATCATAAGTCAGGTAGGTTCCTAAAATTATGTCTCATTTTGACGTGACTACTGCCTGGCCGATTAATCGGCCTCTGGTGTCTGGGGACTCATAACGTTGTGGCCGATTATTCGGCCTGCGGTGTTGAATGGGTTAATACTGATAAAATTGACAGTGTAGCCTTCAGCCTACTTAATACTGACAGATTTGACAGTGTAGTGCACAAATGACTATCCATATTATCCAAACACAACATTTGTTATTGTGGTATCCATCACAATTAATGTCCAGAAATCAAAACATGCCAAAATGTATGACAGACAACAGACAGACCTGGTTTGCAAACAGTAAACAAGTGTTTGCCACTGATATGGCAACGTACCCCTCCGCTAAAGAATGGATATCTATATTTACTACTTTTTATTTTTTTGGTCACATACAAGATGCCTGAAATTACTGGTGTCTGCATAATCACCCAATGTAGGCTGTCAACATAATTGAAAACATTGGGTGCAATGTTGTATGAGATATCGCGTTTAAATAAGATTGAAAAGCGGTCAAAGTGTCGTAGTGACCTTGAATATAAGATCAAGGTCACCCAAATCGACTGGTGTCTGCATAATCCCCTAATGTAGGCTCTCACCAAATTTGAAGACATTGGGTACAACAGTTCATGAGATATCGCGTTAACAAGAATCGAGACGTATGTGCGGACGGACGGACACCGCTGAATACATAGTCCCCCGTTCCGCGCTGCGGCAGGGGACAACAACAATGAACACATGTACATCTGTCACAAATGAAAATATATGGCCAAAGTAGCAATATTGGTTCATGTCAGCTACCTACTTCTTCTCCAGGATTTCCGTGAAGCTGAGCTGGTTGTGTTGCATAGGTCACTGAAATAAAGTAAAAATACATATATCAGACACAGCAAATGGTATACTATGACACGAAGCACTTCTTCATTGAGCAATTGAACCAGGTTGCAATATCTAAAAAAGGTTCCTCTAAATTAAATTGTTTGTTTGTGTGTTTGGTGTTTAATACCACACTCAGCAATATTCCAGCTATATAGCGTTGTTTTGTTAAATAGTTCATAACAAGTGTAGAAGTGAGCAAAGCTCACATACCCCTGCTTCCCACTTTGGGACATGGAAATGACTGATATTGATATATATAATGTGACAAGGATCAGCAGCTCACAAGACTTTCTCTTTGACTCTACTAAACTTTATATAAATGTTAGATAATAGTTTTGGCATGTACTGATTACGGTAATAATTTATGGAAACTAGATTTTTTTGTGTTTTCCGTGGAAACCTGACATGTAATTGAACTTGAGTGTGTCATGTTGCACACAATGGACGTAGATGAAGATTGCTATTTTTTTAGCACATGGCATATCTGTGGGTCATGATTAACTTGTGTATTAAGTTTGGTGAACCTAGCATGTATAGTTGCGATGATATGCCGTGGTCAGGTCACCATCAAATACATTTTGCATGTACCTAGCATGAACCTAGCATGTAAACTTTAAGAGATATGCTCTGGACAAAATAATCAAACACATTTGGCACTAAGTCATGTTTCCATGGAAACAGCAAAAAATACAATTCATATCTGGATGTAAACCCCAAAAGGCACATCTAGGGATCATGCTTGATATGTGTACCAAGTTTGATGAAGCTAGCATGTATAGTTTGGAAGATCTGCTCCGGACAAGATGACATCCTCATAGTCACAGCCTAAGTCGTGTTTTCATGGAAACAGCAAAAAAACTAAATTCTGAAAAAACTTTAAAATAGCAAAAGGCACATCAATGGGTAATGATTAACATGTGTGTGAAGTTTGGTGAACCTAGCATGTAAACTTTAAGAGATATGCTCTGGACAAAATAATCGAACATATTTGGCACTAAGTCATGTTTCCATGGAAACAGCAAAAAATACAATTCATATCTGGATCTACCCCCCAAAAGGCACATCTAGGGATCATGCTTGATATGTGTACCAAGTTTGATGAAGCTAGCATGTATAGTTTGGAAGATCTGCTCCGGACAAGATGACATCCTCATAGTCACAGCCTAAGTCGTGTTTCCATGGAAACAGCAAAAAAACTAAATTCTGAAAAAACTTTAAAAAGCAAAAGGCAAATCAATGGGTAATGATTAACGTGTGTGAAGTTTGGTGAACCTAGCATGTAAACTTTAAGAGATATGCTCTGGACAAAATAATCAAACACATTTGGCACTAAGTCATGTTTCCATGGAAACAGCAAAAAATACAATTCATATCTGGATGTAAACCCCAAAAGGCACATCTAGGGATCATGCTTGATATGTGTACCAAGTTTGATGAAGCTAGCATGTATAGTTTGGAAGATCTGCTCCGGACAAGATGACATCCTCATAGTCACAGCCTAAATCATGTTTCCATGGAAACAGCAAAAAAACTAAATTCTGAAAAAAAATTAAAATAGCAGAAGGCACATAAATGGGTAATGATTACTATGTGTGTGAAGTTTGGTGAACCTAGCATGTAAACTTTAAGAGATATGCTCCGGACAAAGTTTCGGGACGGACGGACGGACGGACGGACAGAATGAACGCTATATACCCCCGTTACTTCGTAGCGGGGGTATAATAATTGTAGTAGTGCTACAAGGGCTATAGTCAAGTTAGAGTTGTCTCCCTCTCTTATATTTTACTGCTGCGTTATCTCCCTTTGTACATCATAAAGCAAAAGGCGTTTCTACCGCTTCCAATTTGCAAGGTCTAATCAAATTTTTTCCTAATGCATTAATGGCTCCACCATGATGTAAGTAATCAAATAATGTTTATAACATAATCATTAACATGTTAAAGTATACTTTCTCAGTATACCATCGTATTAGGTATGTAATTTTACCTAATCTAAATATTGTACGGCTCAGCTATGGTAATCACAAGATGGCAGATTGTCATCTGCTCATCTCAATGTTTATGTATCCAAGGTATTTCAGCTAATATAACAATTCATTGTTTAAAGTAGCATTCATAATTGCATTGTATTAAGGTACTATAACTTACCGAGGTAATTTCTTTATTATTTCAGTTTTTACCACATTCTACAAACAATTCCTGGTACATTGCAAACTCCACTTAAAACAAACTGTCGACAGTTATGGATTAAAAGATCTGAAGCTTAAAGTTTGTTTTGAACTGTTGGAGCTGTTTCCTGGTTATACTACCTGTCCTCGGACAGAACATGTCAGTGGTCTGTAAATAATCGCATCTGGACCAGATAATCCAGTGATCAACAGCATGCACATCAATCTATGCAATTTGAATGTGATGACATGTGTCAATCAAGTCATCAAGCCTAACAACCTGATCACGTTTAGTTGCCATGGGATGCTGAAGACCAATTCTGACTCTTCAAAGGAGTTACGGACATCTGAAGGAAAGGCGATCTTTAGTGCTGGTGCTTGCTGGTGCGTGCTGGTGCTTGCAGATGCTCACGCAGCTTTTGTCTTAATAGTTTTCTTTCATTCTTCCTTTCGTGCACAATTTCTGTTTCTGGCTTTGGTATTGGTTCTGGTGTCTGTGAGTCTGAGTGAGTGAGTGAGTCTAGACATTGAAGGTTTTGAGAATGTGTTAATTTAACATGTATGAACAGTCTTGTCAGCTTCAGTGTGAAATATGATAAACTTCCCATCAATATAATCACACACAATAGTAGTAATAATCATGACAGACGGTAGACTCGTTGTTTTCAAATTAGATGAAACAGAATGTTCATAAAACTGCATTTTTGATCACTGATGATAAGTGATTGATTTCACTGAAAACATTAAAGAGAAAAGGTGATTTATATAATTGCTACTGATGTCACTTGCTGAGTGACAGCTGCTCTGGGCTTTACACATTTAGATAAAATAATATGCTGCGTCTTTTTGTTTTGACTGAATAAAATGTTGGAAATTTTACTATAAATATGTAATTTTTTAAGTAGAATTGATATTTTTATACTTATCCTGACTCATGATCTTTTGCTTATCTCCCTTTCCTTTGCGAATGGTAGTGGAACACTTGAATCCCTTTGAAGTTCCCGAAGCGGACGTAAAAATACACTCACCCACGAGTTGCCTCCCTTTTGCCCTTTCCCGCTCGTCATGAGTCAGGATAAGTATAAAAATATCAATTTTACTTTAAAAATTACATATTTTTACTTATCCTGACTCATGATCTTTATAGAATCCGACGGACTGGTGGTGGGTCAAGCCACTTCGTGGATTCATCAGCTGTCCTTAGATACGTCCTGTAGCCCCCCCATGGGAACTGCAAAACGGCATTTCCATGATCCTATTCTTCCAACTTCCGTTATAACTCAGGGGGACCACTTTCTTGTCTTACTTCAGTCTCAGACAAGTTGAATCATGTTGATTCATGTGGCTACAGATAAACTAGTATCTTCATATTACTAGATATCTCATAACAACCCATAGATTATAAGATCTTTATCATAAACGAGTTGCGACCCCTTCACGTACAGGTAAGATCTTTACCCGTACAGGATCTTTAATCACTCATGCTAGCCTGTGCTAGAGACTGTGCGCATGGACTTTCAAACTAGTACTTTTCTTTAGTAAAAGTTATCAACAAGTCAACGTGATAAAGGGTGAGATTTTTCAACTCAGCGCCTTTGAGGAACCGTTAGTTGTTGTGCTACAATGAGAAGCCCAAATTGGTGAATGCCTGAGACGTCTTCAGTGGCTATGTCTCGTAGGTAATGGTTGGCAAACACTGTTTCCGACTTCCAAAAGCAGCCCTCCATAATTGTTGGTATAGAGCAATTTCCGTGCAGAGCCAGTGTTGACGCCAGTGCTCTGACTTTGTGTGGGTTGGAAGCTCTAGGAAGTTCTAGTCCAGCTGCTTTATAGGCTCTCAACATGACGGCTCTCATCCAGAACGATATGGTCGTTCTTGAGACTTCTGCTGATGTCTCTGTTGATAATGGGATGAACAGGCGCTTGAATTTTTGTCTCCTTGTCTCAGTCTTTTGAAGATATATCTTCAGAGCTCTGACCGGACACAAGGATAAGTCCTCAGTATCCTGTGGACCGAGGATTGTAGATAGCACTGGTACGTGGAACTGTCTTTCTGGCTGACCAGGTAGTTGGTTCTTGGCAATGAAGTCCCATCTAAGTCCTAGATGAACTGCAGCATGTTGCCCCATGTCAAATCTGGTTCGACCAAAGTCCAGCGCATGTATCTCTGATATTCGAGCTGCCGTGGCTAGCGCAAGCAGGAACAGAGTCTTCTGTGTCAGCAGCTCGAGGGTAGTCTGGTCTAGTGGTTCGTAGACATCACTCGTAAGATGATGTAGAATTACATTCAGATCCCAGGCTGGAGCTCTGAATTTCTTTTGCTGGTCCTCCAGTTTAAAAGATCTCAGCAGAGCAAGTAATTCTGGTACTTTCGTCAACTTGATGCCTTTTTTCATGGTAATCACTGTACTGATGGCGGTGAGGTATGTAGATAATGTCGAACCTTTCAGATGTCTGGTCTGTCTAAGATGACACAGATATTCCGCCACTTGAGGATGAGTAGCTTTCATCGCAGTGAAGCCTTTCCGCCTTGCATAAGTCTCAAACTTCAGCCATTTGGCATCAAACAGGTTACGAGTAGTTCTGTGTAACGCTAGCGTTACTGCCTTGGCTGCCCTGGGAGGAGTATCCTCTTTTCTTCAAGCATGTTTTGATATGGTCCACACGTGCAACTGGAATACTGTTGGGTTCCCGTGGACTTGCTTGGTGTGCGGATGTATGAGTAGGTTCGGCCAATCTGGTAACTTGATTACTGGACTTCCGAGATCTTCTATTAGGTCTAGGAACCATACTCGCTGGCCAGTAGGGCGACCAAAGTCAGTTGTAGCCTGAGTCTGTTTGATCTTGAACAGTACTTCTGGAAGTAATATCGGGGGTGGAAACGCGTAGGCATTTAGTCCTTCCCATGACATGCTCAGTGCATCTGTTGCCCAGGCTTGAGGATCTGGAACTGGCGAGACAAACGTCTGTAGTTGTTTGTTGAACCTCGTGGCAAACAGGTCTATGCAAGGGGATCCTATTTCCCTTATGATCAGCCGGAACGCTTCTGGATGGAGCATCCATTCCGTAGGTGACGGGCGCAGTGGTCGGGAGAGAGTGTCTGCAAGTACGTTCTTGGCTCCGGGTATGTGACACGCCTTTATCCAGATGTTTGCTTCCTGTGTGATCTGGAACAACATGAATGTGAGCTATAGCAGGCTTGGAGATCTTGTGGAACCTTGCCGATTTATGGAGAATGCCACTGTAGAGTTGTCCGTGTGGATCATCAGCATTCTGTTGTTCAGCGAGCTCGACCATAGTTGTAAGGCGTTGATCACGGCTTTCATCTCCAGCAGATTGATGTGAAGATGCTGTTCTATTTTGGACCACCTTCCTGACGCAAATTGATTGTTGAGATGCGCACCCCATCCCTGCATCAAGGCGTCTGCGTAGAGATGTGTGTAGAAGGCCCGGACGGAAAGTGTAGACTTCATCTTTATCCTTAGAAGGAGACTCCAAGTTCAACCCGTTGGCAATCCATGCTCTAACCTCTGAGTCTGGGAAGACGAAGTCTGCTTGCTGATACAAAGTCTCCTGAATATTAGTGCTAGGTCTCAACGACTCATCCATCTGCGAACATGTATCCCTTCTCGAACCTTCATCATCCTTTCGCGAACCTCTATCTGAAGATTCCTCCCTATGCGAACGTCTATCTTGAAAGAGCTCTCTTCGCTAACCTCTATCTGTAGATACATCTCTTCGCGAACCTCTGTGAGGTGAGCTATCCCTTCGCAAACGTCTGTCATAGGGCAAACTTCTGAGCTGTGAGCCTTCTCTTCAAGAACCTCTGACTCGTGAGTGACTTCGCAAACGTCTGTGAGAGATATGAGATCTCGACCTAGAGCGGCTAGGTGTAGGAGATGGATCCTTCAATGTTCTCGAACGTAGAGGGTTCGCAGATGTAGAACTGTGAGTAGGCATCTCATCTCTTCTATCCTCCAACATGACAGAGTCGTCCAACTGTGGAGACCTTCGCAAAGGTGTACGTTCGCCAACGTAGTCTTGAGACGTAGTTCTATGAGGAGTAGGTTCGCTCAGGTCCGTAGGTTTGCACACGGTGTCGGTAGATGAGAGGCTTCGCCGAGCCTTCGCTTCTTCCTGGAACCTACATTCCATCATGGCCATCATGAGGTTGAATTGTTTCATAAATTCGCCCGTGTCAAAGTTCTGCATAGGTTGAAGCTGCCGCGGTGTAGACGAAGCGTTCACGAACGCTGATGAGTTCTGTGCCTCAACTTCACTCCGTTGAGAAGTAGGTGGTAGTTCGTCAAACAGCTGTCCTGCTCTGACCGTTGTAGGGGACGATCTAGTAGTTGTAGAGGTCGATTGAGTCGCTGATCTCATAGATACTTCAGGTAGAAGTAATGGGGGGTCATCAAAGATGTCTACTTTGTGTGGAGGTAATATCTCTTCGTTGAAGGATTTCTGCTGCGTTGATGTACGAGCACGTGTAGATTTGCCCTCCGATCTGGTAACAGATGCTTACTTCTGCTGTGTAGAAGAAGATGACGTCTTTTTCTCAACCTGAGACGGAGTCAACTGCGTTGTAGACGATCTCTTCTTGGCCCCCTTACCAGCAGACTGCCCATGTAACGCACTAAACATAGCACCAGTATTATGAACATCAGCAGTAGCAAGCAACATACGGTTTGAAGGCTGATCTCCAGTTTTATCAACTGTGACTTGAGATGACTTTCTCACCCGATCCATGGCACGTCTATAGATATAAGACAAATATTGATTAAATTGAAGATTTGATAAATGAACACAATAAGTACAGCGCAAGCTGGAAGAACATGGTTTTATGCATGAAGGGCATTGGTGGTGAGGATCAGCCACGGATAACCTGTGCCTGCAAACACTGCAAGATTTCATGAAATGTAAACAAGGTTACAGTCCGTTTGAGTCAGAAACGGACCGATGAATTGCAAATTTTATCATTGTACAAAATTGCCACATAAATATAAATAGTACACGTTTATCATTTACTAATACCCAACAGCTTTCTTATATTTGAAAATTTTCTGGACTCCTCCAAAAAAGTTTTTTAAGAAACTATCATCATTGAAAACGCAAAATTTGTTATCTGTTGCAGTGGGGTGAAACCGCCGAAACGGAACAGCCAGTCATGGCGAGGGACATCTCAAAATCTATTCCGGGAGACCTATCGGTTCCACGTCTGTCGTAGTGTCATAGTCACGACTTAAAGGGATTACAAGTGGTGCCACAGTTGCCTGTTGTAACCAGTAACCCTGTTCAATGACATTAGCTACCTTGTTGACACAGTTTTGCCAAGATTCAGTCGTGATTTTGTTAAGGGATTCCTTAACCAAAACCTCTACGTCACGTAATCTAAAAGTTGTGTTTGATCTGGCAACATCTCCTTTGACAATACCCCATATCATTTCAATGGGGTTAAGGTCACAGTGATAGGGTGGAAGTCGCAGAATATCGTGACCCTTACTTTTTATGTAACTGTCAACTTTGTAGAAAGGTTCACCTTTGTGGGTTTTTATGATCTCATATAGCTGAGGCTTCGTTGCCTTTGAAGGCCGTGCGATCTGAAATTTGTCGAGCCATGATATCATATCACCTTTTCGACTGTTCGATGTCGGGGCTTTACTGTTGGGGTCCTGCACGCTGTGGTATGGGGCATTATCCATTCCGATAAAAGACTTCTCTGGTAGAGCTGGTACCAACTTGTTTTTAACCCAATCGAGGAAAACCGCACCATTCATCTCGGAATGGTAGTCTTGGTTATCTGTGGACTTTGCCCTGAATACCAAGTCGCAGCCTGGGAGAAAGCCTTTGCTGGAGCAACCAGAATGGAGAATGATTAGTCTCTCTCCTTTCCCTAGAGGCAGCTTTCTACGTGACTCCTTATCACCCCCATCGGGTACCCACTGACTGCTGGCAGTGTGCGAGGCATTGACCCAGGTCTTGTCCAAGTACACTGGCTCGAACCTTTCCTCGCGCTTCTTCTTTATAAGCCTGAGAAAATTATTTCTCAAGGGAACGATATCAGTGCGTTCACAGAGTACTGACCTATTCTCCCCAAACATTATTTTCTTATAACGATACCCGAAAGAGTGTAAGAGTCGCCAGAGTGTGTACTTTGATACTCTAAGGTTGTGTTCTTGCTTCAAATGCTTTCTTAAAATTTTCAGCGAGACGTATTTGTTTTCAGAATAGCGCGCTTGTTGATAAGACTGCCTTACAAGGTTCTTTTGAAAGTTGTCCAAATGTTTTAATTTGTGTGATTTTGACACGACCCCTACCTGCTTTGCATCACCCTCACAATGTTTGTACTCCAGAACATTTGTCAGTACCCTTGCTGATACTCCTAAAGCTTTTGCTGCCCGCTTACGGAATTTATTAATGGCATAAAATGGTTTGCCCCTTAGGTAGTGGCTGTTCCGTTTCTGCGGTTTCACCCTGCCGCGACAGATGTGTTTTCAATGATGATAGTTTCTTAAACAACTTTTTTGGTTAAGTCCGGAAAATTTTCAAATATAAGAAAGCTGTTGGGTATTAGTAAATGATAAACATGTGTACTATTTATATTTATGTGACAATTTTGTACAATGATAAAATTTGCAATTCATCGGTCCGTTTCTGAGTCAAACTGACTGTAACCTTGTTTACATTTCATGAAATCTTGCAGTGTTTGCAGGCACAGGTTATCCGTGGCTGATCCTCACCACCAATGCCCTTCATGCATAAAACCATGTTCTTCCAGCTTGCGCTGTACTTATTGTGTTCATTTATCAAATCTTCAATTTGTAAATAATTCAAATGTAAATAATTTCTACAAATCTTTACATATAATACATAGTAATTTTTGCCAAATCCATATACAGCATAATTTTGAAGAATAGGACCTAAATAACAAAGATATAATGCCGTATACAGGACTCCAGTGCTCGCCCAACCATCCGCTTGGGCGAAAAGGGAGAGAGTGACAAGTAAGGCAGGTCACATGACTGTTTGAGCGGGAAAAGGGCAAAAGGGAGGCAACTCGTGGGTGAGTGTATTTTTACTTCCGCTCCGGGATCTTCAAGGGATTCCAGTGTTCCACTACCATTCGCAAGGGAAAGGAAGATAAGCAAAAGATCATGAGTCAGGATAAGTAAAAATTGTATATTTATATACTTATCTTATCTCACGCTATGCACCTCTCTTCATATCGTGAGATAGGATAAGTTTTAAACATTGTTTGTTTTTTCTCACTTTAAATGTTTTTCAATTGTAATTTGTCAAAGGGAAGAAGAATATATTTACTCAATCTACTTTTTTTTAAAAAGTAGATGAAAAATTTAGCTTATGTAAAAGTCACATGCCCAAACTACAAATTCAATATGACAGATGTTTAGGTCGTGTATAATATGGCGCATGATGACAATGCTAAACTGACATAATTTACAAAGACAGCGACTACGAATCCATAGTTACAAATACTTTAGGAACCAGTGTGTAGTCAAAGTGAATAGATGTAACACATGCAACTGCCTTAAGTTTCCCATATTTGGTGTGCTTACATTAAAGTGTACTCTCATCTAGATCTGCATGGTAACAGCACAGATGTTCAGGTAACAGAAATTAACCTTCCATATTTGTTTCAGTTATCATCAAGAATGAAAAATAAACAGGACAGTGAGACACAACATGATATGAACAGTTTCTGTACTGTTGTGTAAGTGGTACTAGTTTATTACCACTCCAGCTAATCCTTATTGATATACATACCTGAGAAAGGTACATTTTGTGTGTACTCCCCCTTGACAAAAGGACATGACGGTGAATGACGTTCATGTTCTGACCTGAAACAGACAAATCACCTTGAAGGATTTGTGCAATCTGCTTCACATCAACTACACCTTTTTGTGACAAGATTCATTTACAAATACACTTTCAAAAAGAAGACAAAGTCATCAACATCCCCCACAATGGTAAAATACTCTTCATGAATATGTCGACTAGCTATGACTATGTCAAATGTACAGTTTCCAAAATAATACCCCACGCAAAAACGCAGGGGATAATAACTAATAACAAAAGGCACCATTTTACAACCCGTTTTTTGTTTGTGCACAGTTTCATGAAAGAATATCTAGTACTTTTTTCGAGATATGGTCCTGATAAAATCAAACCTGCTGCCATGGAAATGGACACAACATAAATTCTTAACAACCTTAGTAGCACAAGGCACCATTTTACAACCAAGTCTTTGTGTGCGCACAGTTTCATCAAAGAATATCTATTAGTTTTAGAGACAAGGTCCAGACAAACACACCACTATGAACAGTCAAACCCAATCTTGCTGCTAAGGAAACAGGAAAAAATTCTTTAGTGTAAAATTCCTAAACAGCAAAAGGCACCACTTCAGCCTTGGTTCAGTCCCTGTTTTGGATGAAAAGTGTATATTTGCATTTCATAATTTGAACTCAAGTGACCATGACCTCACAAAGATGTCATCCAAAAGTTAACAATGGCCCTATATTAGAGATCAAGTGTAGATGTTTACTTAAACCAGTTCACAGTTTTGTACCAGCTGCACTAATAAGTATCAGTAAGCAATAAGGAATGATACCTACCAAGGTTCATCTGTAGGTTCCCAGCATACCAGGCATACATTGCAGGTGAAGCACATAGCTCGGTCATCTCCTGAAGCATTAGGTTGGTGGTAAAAGCCTGCCTGGGCCATGGGATCTGGCAATGCCCACCTACAATACAAAAACAAAATCAAACATACAAAATAGAATTATATGATTTTATGTCAAGAGTTTGTTCCCCTTTTGTCATCAATATCCCCTGCAATGGCAAAATACTCTTCATGAATATGTCTACTAGTTATGATTATGTCAAATGTTTTGGCATGTATATACAGTATGACCAGAAATTATTGAGAATTTTAGGAATACGTTTAATTGGATTTCTAGTATAAACAACCTTGACCAGCTATCCAGTGCTTGGTTTCAATCAAGAGAGACAACTCTGTTTATCCGTTTTCATTAGTTTGTAAAGAGTTATCCCCCTTTGTTTACTTGCTAGCAGACGACATTTTCAGTGATCCTCAGTATGGATGATTTAGAGAATACTCCTAGGCCAAATGTAGAGATAACATTATTATCAGGTAATACGATACACCAGACCTTATCACCCATACTGCATATCCTGATCATGTTGAACATCAGTGCTTGTCACCGTCCATTAAACCATGTGGTTAATACTCATGCAGTTGGTCTATGAACATGTGGACACTGTTTCAACAGTGGGGTAAACCTTGTTTGTTTTCAGCAACCTGATACATTCTGTGTCTAGTTCCACATTGACAAGAATCTCTGGAGGGTGGGAGTTGTCATACCAATTACTGGATAACGCTTTTACTGCTGCTGAGAGATCCTAAAAGACAGGGACTTTTCTAACATTTGGCCTAGGACTAAGAAGAGGAAGTTGATTTTAGAGTATTATAACAAGGACATCAGATCAGCTAAAGTGATTTCAAGTAGAACAGGCATCCCTTTGTCCACTGTTTATCGTGTTTTGAAAAATATTGCAAATGGATATGGCATTGAGCACCAGAAAAACGTAATTTTCTGACTAAAATAGATATTTTAGACTTATCCTGACTCATGCTAAATGCTTGTCTCCTTCTCTTTTTGCGAATGATAGTGGAACACTTGAAATCCCTTGAAGTTCCCTTCTAAAAAGCGGACGTATAATCACTCACGTGTAGTCTCCCTTGCCTCCTTTGGCACCTATTTTGGTCACATGACCAGCCATGTTTGTCACTCTCTCCAAATGCCCGACACCCGGATTTACAGGGAAATCCAGAGTGCCATAAGAGGGGAGGTTGGGAGGGCTGACATCATGAGTCAGGATAAGTATAAAATATCAATTTTAGTCAGAAAATTACATATTTTTCCTTATCCTGACTAATGCTAAATGCTTGTAGAATGCGTCGGAATCGGTGGTGGGTCAGGCCACTTCCTGGATTCTCTGGCTGTTGAATTACGTCCTGTATTACCCCCCCATGGGAACTTATGACGTCACTGCTGATGATTCTGTTCTTTCAACTTCCTCTGATGAGTCTGGGGGGGAACCACAACTTGTCAGATTTCTTCCGAAACTTCTCCTGACATTTTTGTGCGGATTTTTAGATATATTAATGTTCCATTAGTTATCTATTGCAACTCCATCTCTTGATGCGTGCATCAAGTGGAGATGCGACCCTTCTTCATGTATGAGTAAGTCCTATACAAGTACAGGGTCTATCACTCATGCTAGTCTGTCCTAGACGTGTGCATGGACTTTAACCATTTGCTCTCCAGAGCGTTGGTTTTCACAAGTCACGTGATAAAAGGGTGAGATTTTTCTCAGCGCCTTTGTGGAACCGTTAGTTGTTGTGCTACAACAAGTGGCCCAAACTGGTGAATGCCTGAGACGTCTTCGGTGGCAATGTCTCTGAGGTAGTGGTTGGCAAACACTGTGTCCGATTTCCAAAAGCAGCCCTCCATTATTGTTGTAATCGAGCAGTTTCCATGCAGAGCAAGTGTAGACGCCAGGGCTCTGACTTTGTCGGGATTTGGGGATTTGAGGCTCGTGGAGGCTCAAGTCCTGCTGCTTTGTAGGCCCTTAGTATAACGGCTCTCATCCATATCGATATCTTTGTCTGTGAGACTTCCGTGGGCGTCTCAGTGGAAAAGGGGATGAATAGGCGCTTGAATTTTCGTCTCTTTGTTTTTGTCCTTTGTAGGTAGACTTTTAGTGCTCTGACAGGGCATAAGGATAGATCCTGTGTATCCTGTGGCCCAAGGACTGTAGAGAGTGCTAGGATGTGGAGCTGTCTGTCAGGCTGGCCGGGCAGTTGGTTCTTGGCAATAAAGTTCCATCTCAGTCCTAGATGAAGGATGTCACGACGTCTTGATTCAAATCCTGTTAGTTCAAAGTCCAGAGCATGTATTTCTGACATCCGTGCTGCTGTTGCTAGGGCGATCAGAAACAGCGTTTTCTGTGTCAGTAGTTCAAAGGATGTCCGTTCTAGAGGCTCGTAGGCATCACTGGTGAGATGTTGTAGAACTACGTTGAGATCCCAGGCAGGAGCCTTGAATTTCTTTTGTTGGTCTTCCAACTTGAACGAGCGTAGTAGTGCCAGTATCTCTGGTACTTTGGTCAGTTTGACACCCGTCTTCATGGTGATAACTGTGCTGAGAGCAGCCAGGTACGTTTGAGAGTGTTGAACCTTTTAAGTGTCTCGTCTGTCGCAAATGACACAGGTATTCCGCCACTTGAGGATGGGTTGCTTTCACCACTGTAAAGCCTTTCCTCATTGCATACTGTTCAAATCTCTGCCACTTGTCGTCGTACAAGTTGCGAGTTGATCTGCGTAGAGCTAGTGTCACTGCTTTCGCTGCTCTGGCGGAGTACCCTCTAGTCTTCAGGCAAGCTTTGATACGCTCCACGCGTGTAGCTGGAACAATGTCGGATTCCCGTGAGCTTGCTTGGTGTGTGGATGGACGAGCAGGTTCGACCACTCTGGTAGTTTCAGGGTTGGACTTCCAAGTTCTTGTATGAGGACGGGAAACCATACCCTCGCTGGCCAATAGGGCAGGACCCAAATCAGTTGCAACATTGTCGTCTGCTTGATTTTCTGTATTACTTGTGGTAATAGTGCTGGAGGTGGAAACGCGTAAGCGTTTAGTCCTTCCCATGAGATGCTTAAAGCATCTGTTGCCCATGCCTGAGGATCCGGAATCGGTGAGACGAATGTTGGTAGTTGTTTGTTGAACTTTGTTGCAAACAGGTCTATCAGTGGAGATCCTACTGTCTGTATGACGAACCGGAACACTTCTGGATGTAACATCCATTCCGTCAGGGATGGTTGTAGTGGACGAGATAGGGCATCTGCTATGACATTCTTTGCTCCTGGAATGTGGCATGCCTTCATGTAGATGTTCAGGTCGTCGACGATGCTGAACAGGAGAAAGCTGAGTTTTAGCAGACTTGTTGACCTTGTTGATCCTTGTTTGTTGATGTAGAACGCTACTGTGGAGTTGTCCGTGTGGACCGTGAGCCTTGCGTTCCTTAGTACGCTGGACCAGTGTTGTAAAGCGTTGATCACTGCTTCCATCTCCAACAGGTTGATGTGCAGAATTTGATCCTGACTCGACCACTTTCCTGCTGCCACTTCGTTGTCGAGGTGAGCACCCCATCCTTGTAGTGATGCATCCACGTAGAGATGAGTGTTGCAAGCCGGCTCTGACAAAAAGGTTCCTCCGCAAACATTCGACTTCTGAGTCCACCATAGGAGTTATGGTTTCAGGCTGTCCGGTAGTATCAGTGGATCCAAACTGTCGAGATGGGCGTTCACAAATATTGTAGTGGGCGCAGCTGTAATCTCCCTCTGCGAGTCATGTCTTGAGCTGAGGTGAGTAGACCAAGCATGCTTTGCCAAGCACGTAGTGTCAACGGAGAGAGCATTGCTTGAGATATCATATGTTGTATCTTGACCCAACGATCCTCTGGGACGACCGTGTGATTCTGTGGTGTGATGAGCCATATTCCCAGAAATTGAAGATCCTGTTTTGGTTCCAACTCCGATTAGGAGATTACTAGCCATCTACTGCAATCATGTCCTACGATGTAGGTACGTGGATCTAGGAGCCCTTGCCATGTCCGTCATGGAAGCGGAGAGATGATCGATTCTGGAATCATGGCTTGAAGCTTGTCTCATCAATCTTCCGGTAATATGTAATGAAGATGTTGTCACCAGAATCCGAACAATGTGCAGCGATGATGCATAATACGTCGTCTCTAGATCAGCAAAAATCTATGATGTACTGGGACTGCCATCGATGTGAAGTCTATTTATAGTCGACTGGCTGATCGCGAAGCAGAAACCGTCTAACGCTTGTCGCTGCAAGTCCCCAGATAACCAATATTCAATCTGCTGACAGGGGAAGTCCTCTATGACCCGTGAAGATAGTCAAACCACGCTGTACCCTGCTAACTGGACTGTAAATGGAGCCTTTCCCACGTTGAAAGAGTTGTTTACAACTGTAGACGACTTCCTGGCATGTGACTATGACCAAGACTTCCAGGGCGTTGTCTCTCGTGACTGATTACAGGACGTCACCAGTGTTGCAGGTAAATGATCCTCGTAGAATCTTGTGCAGTCGTTGATTTCTTCGTCAACACTCGGCCTTGTCCGTAACCTCTCTGTTCGGCTTGTGCCGGAGTTACACGAGTGAACACGTGTCTAGATGGCTGAGTGGAAGCGCGCGAAAACTTCGCCGCGTAGTACCGATGTAAGCAGACTGTTCCCTGTCTGTTGTGACTGTATTCTTCAACTTTATAATCTTTACTGCAGTCGTCATCTTATACAGATGTTCTGTAAAGTTGACCGTAACCGATGTCTCGCTGAGGAACTGCGACAATGCTGTTAACTGTCCCCTTGATATCTTGTAAGCCCATGTGATGAAAATTCATCTTCAGTGTTTCATCGGATGTTATCTGACATCGTTACTTCAGGTGTGTGTCTCTTCCTTCAGCCACGATGTTGATCCAACATAGCCAACATCTAGTTGTAGTGTCCAGTTGCGTTTTCTTCTTATCTTCCATCTTGAAGATCTATTACGGGATTCACTGATGATCTTGTAATCTCAAACCCTGATGTATCATGAAGGGCTCCGTATGATGAAGGGGAAATCTGCTATCGTTGAAC